ATAGCTAGATAGTTAGTTAGTTTGAAATATAATTTTGCATATATTTCATTTTTGGCAGTATATGAGTCAAAGGATTTCTTTCCATTACAAAGAGTTGTTAGGTTACTTACGTAAGACAGCTTAGAACGATAATGAATTTAACTATATCGGTTAGGATTAAAGTAATCGATCTGTAAACTTTCGTAAGAAATGATAATATTATTTTGGAAAATCATACACCCACACCCACCCACACCCACACACTTACCTATACATATATATGTATAGGTATTAAAAAAATGAAATTAAGGAATACTAACCAGAGTCCTCCCCGCATCCTTCCTATTATATGGTCTGCTGGGACATTGTATACAACATGTCGAAGAACTTCTGCACGTAGACGTTGACAAAAGGCGGTAAGAAAGACATAGACGTCAACTTGGTTACCTTCTTGCGTAAATCACTGAACGCTGCCTGCACGTAGCGATCATAAACATACCGGGTCTTGATGTACTGAATATATACCAACGTAAAGACGGACCCAGAGGTCAGCATAATGGGGAAAGTCACCATCACCTCAAAAGATGCAGCCATCATCAAAATATTGTAGCGATTCGTCTCGATACTCTTAAAGTATGGCAATAATATATTTTGTAAAGGCCCCGCCCACACCAGAAGTTTATTCTTATGATTCAACAAATCTATTAAGTCATAAAATAAAGCAAATGTTGCCAAAAATAACTGAGGTGGAACTTTTATCAGTAATGCGATGAGGCAAATACTTAGCAAAAGTAGAGGAAAGTGATGCACCAAAACCTTGAGGTCGTCCATCTTTCGAGGAATCATACCTCTGAGATACAAGTTCAGCCCCTGCTGGAGGATAAGCACGCAGAGGAGGGTCCGCCAGAGGAAAATCATCAAAACCGGCTTCATAAAGGAGCTGACGGTGAATAAAAGGTTAACCACAAAAATTATTAACGCAATAGCCGCCCCGGCATCGCTGACCGCCGCGGTTGCGAACTCGCCTCCACAAAGAGGTGGAAGAGGAGCCCCATTCATCATCACATTGGGAACGGACGACGCCGATGAAGAGGATGTTCGGTGCGCCGAACGCCGGACATCCAACAACTCTTCTAGAACTTTTAGGCTGTTCTTTACGCCCTGGTTGCTCGGATCCAGGCCTAAGGCCACTTTGTACTCGGCGTCCGCCTCCTCCAGCTTTCGCTGAGCCCATAATGAAGTCGCGATGCGAACGTGAGCCTTTACGTTGTCATTGATCGATATCGATTTTTTCGCATCGCGAATGGCCTCATCGTATTCCCTCAACTCGTGGTGCGCGGCGGCACGGTTACTGAAGTATATGAAATTTGATGGATCATTTTCGATCGCCTTGGTGTATAAAATTATGGCCTCGTCAAATCTCTTTTCCGCAAAGGCCTTATTGCCGTTGATCCGGAACTCCTCAGAAATAGATTCGGTCATGTTATTTCAGTATATGTGAAAAAAAGATAACTAAGTCAATTGTATCTATTTGTTTGTCCTTATTTAGCACGAAGAGTTATAAACACTCTTATAATCTTAAAAAAAAATTCAACTATTCTTAAAGTGAACTTTAAAGAGCACATGAAGAGATATATGAGCACATAAAAGTAACATGAAGGAATTGTTGATTCTGTATCTATAGACATATATGAGCGCTTCGGAGTGAGTGATTGCAGTATTTGTGAAGTTGTTCGTAATGACTAACTTTTAACCTCTATTTCGTTTAAAAAATAAGTATACCCAAACTAACTCAGTGTTTTTTTCTACATTTATTTCCCTGTTGTAAGCACTGTATATTTCTCAGAAAATTACATCTTTAACTTTAATAGAATAAATTTTATGGAAAAGAGGGGTTTGGAATTTTTTTCCTATAAGACCCTACTAGACAATGATTCATTCTTCAGAAAATAAAATGGGTAGGCATCAACAACAGTTAAACTAAATTATCACTTCGTTTACTTTGAAGTGCCTTTTTGTGTTTGTCTAATTGATGGAAGGCTGGTACCTGTACGTTGGTTTTGAGCATCTATTGCTATAACAGGGCTCCTTCCAAAGAGTTTGTTGTAATTCTCCTCTCGATTAATAAGCTCTAGCTTGTATAGTTGTAAATCCTGTTGGGCCTTTTTGAGTGCTTTATCTTTTTCATGGCCAGATTTTGTTAGTTGGTTGATAAGATTGACATCCTCAGGACGGGACTCGCGGTAGTTATATTTGTGCAGAAGCTCCTCGTAGCTTTCTTTCATCCGAGTGATCAGCATTTGGTGGGTGCGTTTCTCAGCTTCAAACTCTAAAAGAGCCCTATCCGAGAGTCGCTTGTGCTCCGAAACTAACAGATTGAGCCGCGTGTTGTGTTCACCTTCGGCGCGCTGCATCGCTTCGGAGTGTTCGCCCCTCACCTGAACAAGAGTCTCTTCAGCCTCGCAGCGCTCCTTTTGCATTTGATCCGCCGCATCACGGAGCTCTTTTTCAGTCCCATACAGCTTTTCCTTCAGGAATTCCACCTCGCGTTCGGTGTTATGTTGTTTATCCATGGCGCGCGAGAGCTCGCGTTCGTAGTCCGAGATAATGCCGTCTTTCGCATCCCGCAGCTCGTCCAGCCGAGCCTCAAGCTCCGTCGCGTGGTATTCCTCCCTCTCCCGGTACTCCTTTTCGGCCCTCTGTTGAATATCGTCGAGGTTCGCTCGCCACGTCGCGGCCTCCTGCGCCGCCCGCTCCGCAGCGTCATGCTCGAGCTGGGAGATCGCCTTTGCGTGGGCGTCGTCCGCGGCTGCCATCTCCGCGCGGATCTTTTGCATCTCCTTTGCGTGGAATCC